AAAAAAAAACCGAAAAAAAAAAATAAAAAAGAAACCGGGAAAGAAGCCCCTGGTGAAGCAAGCTTGGAAGCCACCAGCTCCACAGAGCAGCTGCCTAAAGCCAACTCCAGCCTCGCCCGAGCAGCTGACGTGTTCGCTGGGCTGCAGCCCCGGACAGGGCTGGGAAGCCTCTGTGCTGCATCCAGCCCTCGGCCCCGCCGCTGCTCACGCAGATTCAGCCTTGGAAGCCGCGTTAGGAAAAAGAGGCTGTGCCTTATGGCCAGCCCCAGAGGAGGAGAGCTGGGGAGCAGAGCTGCTGTGCTGAGGAGTCGGTGCCCAGCCAGCCCCGTCCAAGGGCTTTGCTCGGCCTGGTGTTCTGGTCCTGTGCCTGAAGCTCAATAGCAGGTGGAGCTCCCTTATGAAAGGGGAGAGCACCATCACCCGAAGGAGGGGATTTTGGGTGCTCCGAGGCTGCTCCTCGATGTGAACCAGCCCGGGGAGGATGAGGAGATCGTTTCCAACAGTCCTTGTGTCTCTGTACCAACGTGGATGCCCTGAGCACCCACCACAGAACACAGTCAAGCATCCCACCAGCTTCCCCTGGCAGCACCAACTCCCAGATTCCCAAATCCCACCGCTACTGAGCCCAGCAACCAGCCCGTAAAGGCTTCCTGCTAACAGCCAGGCTGTAAAACCAGCCGTAAACAAAAATAACCCCTCCTGCTCCTGCCAGGCCACGTCCGTGCCCCGCGGAAGGCCGGAGCAGGGAAATCCGCACTCACACTGACGATGGTGGAGACGAAGAGCAGCACCAGCACGGTGACGTGGAGCACGATGATCCCCAGCAGCAGGAGCAGCATCTTGGCGGTGGTAGAGGGCAGAGCTGCACCGGGACAGGGATGATGCTGAGCGCGTGTGTCTGTCTGTCTGTCTGTCCGTGCGTCTGCCCCGGAACGCTCCGCTGTGCCCCGCCCGGCGCGGGGGATGCTGCTGGGGCAGTGCCCGGCGCTCGGGTTCTCTCCGACGGAGACGGGCCCGAGCCCCCGGCCGCTCCCCGATATCCCCGGGGGTCCCCAGAGACGGGCCCGAGCCCCCGGCCGCTCCCCGATATCCCCGGGGGTCCCCCGAGACCTTCCCCCGCGCCTGCTCCCCCTCTCCCACCGAAGGGGCTCCTCCCAGTTCCCTCCCCTGGGCCTTCACGGGGGGCGGTCCCCAGGGGGCTCCCCCAGCCCCTCTCCCCGAGAGGGACCCGGTCCATCTCCAGGGGAATGTGCTTCCCCCCCGCCCGGGGAGGGCTCGGGCTCGGGCATCGCACCCGAGGGTGCCCCAGCTCCACTCCGCGGGGAGAGGGGGCAGAGGGCCTTGCCCACCCACCCATGGGAGCAGTGTGGGTGATTCTGTCGGTCCCCACCCCAGGGGGAATTTTACCGGGCTCATCTGCCCTGGCGACCCCCGGGGAGAGGGCAGGGGGCGGGGAGCAGGGGGCGTCAGCCCCTGCCCCTTCCAGCCCACCAGGCTGCCTCGGCCCCTCTTCTCCGCGGTGCCCTCAGCCCATCTCCGCTCCCTCCCCGGCAGAGGCTCCCCTGGAGCCTCTCCCGAGCTGGCGGGGGCTGTCCCCAGCCCATCTCCCCTCGGTGAAGAGAGGAGGGAGCTGCCCTGGCCCCTCTCCTTGGAGGACCCCCGAGCGGGGGTGCTGCTCCCGTCCCTCCCGGCTCTCCAGCCCGTGTCCCCGGCGGGACGGGCGCTCCGTACTCACATCGCGGCGGAGCGGAGCGCGCTGGCGGCGGAGCGGAGCGGAGCGGGCGGCGGCGCTGTCAAGTTTCCCCTTTAACCGGGGCCACCGCCCCGTTTGCGTCTGCGGCACGGGGAGGGCTCAGCCGCCGCCTGCCGCCCTCCTATAAACGGGGCAGCGCCCGGCTCGGCCCCGGCCTCGCCGCCTCCCCCGGGAGCCGCTCACGGAGCCGATGCCTTCCCCGGCCACGGCTCCCGAGCCGCTCCCGCCCGGCGGCGAGGAGATGTGAGGGGGCCAAGGGCCGAGCAGCCGGCTCTCCTGAGCCCCCGCTGCCCTGCAGCCGCGGAGGAAGGCGGGGCAGAGGCGGCCGTGCCCCGCTCGCCGAGCAGCCCCCGTGGGTGGGTGGGGGTGTCCCGCAGCGGGGGCGCGGCAGCCCCGGGCTGTGAGAGCAGGACCGGCCCGTGCCGGGAGGACAGAGCTCCGCACATCGGGGTCCCCTCGGCCCGGCCCGGGAGGGTTTGTGCAGCTCCGGACGGGATCCGTGGCTCAGGATTTGGGGAACGAGCATCTGGCTGAGCTGAAGCATTCCAGCACTTGTAGTCGACCTTTTTTAGCACTTGAGAGCCAAATTAGGTAGAATTGAGCAACTTTGCACTGAACAGAGGGTGCGATTTTCCACAGCTTTGGAGGATGCTCAGAGTTGGGGCTGTTCTGCCTGGAGGAGGCTCCGGGGAGAGCTCAGAGCCCTTCCAGTACCTAAAGGGGCTCCAGGAGAGCTGGAGGGGGACTGGGAACAAGGCAGGGAGGGACAGGACACAGGGAATGGCTCCCACTGCCAAAGGGCGGGCTGGATGGGAGATTGGGAATTAGGAATTGTTCCCTGGGAGAGTGGGCAGGCCCTGGCACAGGTGCCCAGAGCAGCTGTGGCTGCCCCTGGATCCCTGGCAGTGCCCAAGGCCAGGCTGGACACTGGGGCTGGAGCAGCCTGGGACAGTGGGAGGTGTCCCTGCCACGGCAGGAGTGGCACTGGGTGGGCTTTCAGATCCTTTTCAACTCAACCCATTCTGGGATTCTGTGACTCAGGTGCTCGGGAAGGAAGGGGTGGCTGCGCTGCCGCCCTCGCTCATTCCTCGAGCACAGCCAGTCTGTTCAAACAAGCCCCACACACAGAGTGCACCCCCCAGCTCCCAAATAATGCCACCAGGAGACCTGCACTCTCCTGAGCATTAACACCAGTCCCCATCGCCTGCCCTCTCCCCACCAGCTCCAGACGCGTCCCGCATTGTTGCACAAACGAAGGAATTCGGCACGCAGCCACCGGGACTGTAAATCTTGGGAGAAGGGAGCTGGGGAAGCGTGCTTGGCTCCTCTCTCCTGGCAAGCAGAGGCGTGTTCCTGCAGCACGGGCTCCTCACACTCACGGAAGGGGTCCCGGTACAAGCGTCAGCGAGCGGGAGCGGAGCTCCGAGCGCCCGGGAGGGTCGGGGCAGAGAGGCTGAAACGAGATTCCAAAGGACGCAATTTCCCTTCCCCTCCAAAAATCCCACCAATTCCTCTGCTGCTGCCGTCCCTGTGCACCCTGTGACCCTGTCAGTGCCATCCGGGGGGCTGGAACGTCTGTGCCACCACCAACATTGCTGGCTAGCGGGGCTGGTGGGGGCTGGCCCCCCTCGGGCCGGTGCCGGGAGGAGCCCCCGCGCTCGGGGCTGAGCGAGAAAGGTCTTGGAAAGGTCTTGTCCCATCCAGGCTCTGGTGGAGACGTTCTCTGACCCGGGTTTGCGGGTCTGAGATCCCGGACAGAGCATCAGCCTGTTCCCGCAGCAGAGCGGGACGCACGGCCGGGAAGGCACCGGGGCCGGCGGTCACAGAGAGCTCCCGAGCTCCTCCAGAGCGGGACAGCAAACCCGCCCAGCTCCGCTCCTGACAACGTGCCAAAAGTGCGGTGACAGAGCTCCGGGGCTGGGGCAGCGCTCCTCTCCACACCTTCCACCAGCCAGAGGTGCTGGAGGGAGCCTGTCCAGGGAGGAGAGCAGGCGTTCTCAAATGACCGTGCCACCAGGGAAAGGAGAGCAAGATATGGTTTGGCTGCACTTCGTGCAAGATCAATAGTGCTCCCTCAAAGAACACACATGCAGATGTATAAATATATATAGATATATATGTAAATATATAAATACATTTACACCGGTGGAATGGGTATTGGAAAAAAATATTTCCACCAGAAAAAACATAAAGCGAGACTTTATATTCAGCAGTTTTCAATAACAAAAGGTCTAATGTATCTTGGAGGCACTGACTTATTTTTCCTGATTTGTTTTCTACCAATTCAAGAAGAATTTATAAAATACTTTAGTCCTTTCTGCATTCATGCCCCCAAACCAACTTCATCCAAGTTTTTGCTTTCCACTCCAAGCCAGTGAAGCACTGATAGAGCCAGGCTGAAATCACTGGAGAAAATCCCACCGACTTCAAGGAAACCAACATTTATTTACCCACTGACACCAAAACCCTCAAAAACTCAGCTGAGCTGCGCAGCTGGACTGGGAACAGCCTCGGAAACTTTCTGAGCTGCTGGTTCATGCTCCTCTCCTGCCAGCACCGAACAGACCCTGCAGAGGACACAGGTCTAAAGCAGCTTCGGGCCACACGTCTGCCCAAACTGCAGAGTTGTACACCTCTGGCTCCAGCGGTGCCAGGTGTGGCCCCTTTTCCTGTCCCCTGCAGGGTCCCCAGAGTGGCCACAGCTGCCCTGGGGATGCCCCGTGCCCCGCGGATCCCCGCGGATCCCTGCCAGGGACACGGCGGGTGCCGCACGAGCCCCAAGAGCAGCTCCATCAAGAGCACGTGAAGCAAATCTGCCGGGGGATACTCAACCCAAGGACGGCCCTGCCGGCTCAGGAAGTCCTTGGGATGCCAATTGCTGGGAGCTGGGAAAGTGGACTGGGAGGATCTCACAGATCCCTGCTGCCTTCTGGTGCTTTTATCTCAGCATCTCCCGTTGGCTCTGGCAGAGGCTGCACCAGAGGCTGCACTTTGGTCTGAGTCAGCATTTCTGTGATCCTACACTGCCCAAACTTTCCTTTTGCATTTTGCCAAAGTTTTCTCCCTTTTTTTCCATAATAGCAATGAGATTGGGGTTGGGTTTTTTTCCCGACTGCTGATGCTGTTTGGGGAATTCTCTCTCCCTTGAGCACAATTATCTGCACTAGTTATGCAATACATTGTTAACATGGGTTTTGGCAAACTTTGATTTCATCCAAATTCATATCAGAACCTTCCAGGACACTCAATGATTTTTGTTTTCTTAAACAACAAAACCTCTTTTCTGAGAAGTTTCTTGCCTAGCCCTGCCTGGAGTGTTCACCTGAACCCTGGGCAGACACAAATCAACAGTGTCCTGGGTTTATTTATTTATTGTCTCTCCTCCAGTCAGTAAACAATTAATTTACACACCCGGCTCTGCAGCAGTGATGCAAATGGAATGATGCAGGAGGGTGGGAACATGGTTGTAAGATGCAAAGGAATTTCCACAGGGTAACTTTCTCAGCAACTTGGCTGATAGAGGCAGCAATAAACCAGCAATAAATAGCAATAAAAGCAGACGCGTCGTTCTCGTGGAGAAAGGAGCCATCCCCTCAGTCCAGAAAGGCAGATGATGCGCCTGGGCTGTGATGTAGAAATGATCTCTGAAAGGAAATCATTTAATGGCACAGCAGCAAAGGCATCTCAGCCATCAGCAGGAGGAGGCAGGGCTGTTGTTTCATCTCCCAGCACATCAAAGGCTGCTCAAATCCCAAAGCCAGCCCTGCAGGGATTAAATGGAGCAGCTTCACTCAGCAGCAGCTCTGTCATGGAAAGCAAACCCCGCCCTGTGCAGGAGAGCGGCCACGAGCCTGGTGCTCACTGGAACTGCACCCAGAGGTCCCTGGAGCCCCGTGGGACAGAGCCTGGGGCAGGGCAGCTCCCCTGGGGAGAAGGAGGAGGACTCACACTGAGGGATGCCCTGATCGAAGTGTCTGCGGGGTTGGGGGGTATCAGCTGCCAGAAGGAGTAACATCAGTACTGTCAATTTATGGAAAACTGGCGTGGAGAGAACGAAACCCCAGAGGGACCTGGGAATTCTCTAACGTCTGGGAAATGGCTGCAGGAAAGTGGAAAGTATTTGTGAAAGAAATTAGAGGAGCTGAAGCTGAAATTCCTCTGGTCATGGCTCAGACAGAGGAAAGAAGCTCTCTGGCAGTGCTGTGGAAAGAGCACCGAGAGGCCAGGACAGCAAAAGAAAATGGGGTCGGGTAATTGCAGCACCACATAAATGCTGGCAGTTAGGAGAAAGCCCTAAAGGAGCTGGCCAGTGGGAAAGATCAGTGTCTGGGGAGCTCTGGAAGCAAAACTGGAGAAAAGTAGAGACTGATCCTGGTGTGCCCTCACTGTAAAACAGAGCCCAGATATTTTTGACATGACTCAAATGAAAGGTGGAAGTGAAGCAAAGGCAAAGCTGGTGCCAGGACTTGCTCCGGGTACTCAAAGGCTGGAGCCTTTCAGGAAAAGGCTGTGGGTGCCCCTGCTGCCCCACGCCCACCTGGGGACAGACTCCTGGCGCCCAAAACCTGGCAGCTGTGTCTGAGAACATCTGGAGTGGGCCTGCAGACAAGGGCACCAGCGGCTGGGGGGCTTCAGGAAAGGAGCAGAGGCAGAGAACAGCACAGAGAAGCCCAAGGCCAGTGAGGTGCTGACAAAAACTGAGTTCAGCTGCCCCTGGCTCCCCTGGGAGGCAGGGAAGTGAAGGGGAAGGTGAGACAGCTGGGCAGTTTCTCCTGCTCTCAGCTCTCTCTTTCCTTTGGGAAGGGTGGCTGCTGCCTCCGACGGACTCTGGCCCCAGGACACACACAGCGTAGAGGAAATCTATTTTTAGTGCTAGTAAAGAAAAAAAAAAGGTTAGAAAGACAATTGCTTCCTGTTTAGGGCTGGTGCTGGCAGGGAGATCCTGCCGGGACCTGAGGCCAGGCGGGCAGAGGGTCTGTGGGCGAGGAGGAGCGTGGCAGACAAGGGAAGTGCCCCAGCTCCTGCCAGCCCCAGGGCTGCTGCTCCTGCCCGGGCTCCCGAGGGAGGGACGGACTCAGCTTCTGCCTCCTGGCATTCCTGGGCTTTAGGCTGAGCTCAGCAGCTGAGGTTAAAGGACTCAAGAGTTGTGGTAGCCTAAGGACAGAAACTGCAATGTGACTTTCACACTGAGCCTCAGATTCATTGAAGACTTATTCCTCTGAAATTCCTCTGAAGAGTCCAATAC